TAAGAACAGAACCATTACAGTTTGGAAAGAAAGAAGTCAAATGAAGCAGATGACTTCCTGCAGTTCTGAGAGCTACCTACTCTAAAGTGAATCACTAAATTTCTCTTTTCACTAAACTCTATCACCATTAAGAGTCCTGATTAAGCAGCTCTTTCCTATCCCAATATTTTTTTAAACTCTCCAGTTTCCACTTCTTTCAAAGAAAATTCAAGCTGGGCCAGGCTGCACTACAAAGTGAGACCCTGTCACGAGAAAGAGAGAGAGAAAAGGAGAAAGGGAGAAAAAGGGAGGAAGGGAGGAAGGGAGGGAATTCACTTCCATCACAGATATGGAAGAGAGGAGAATTGTGCAATTGGGTTTATGAGTTCAAAGATTTCATGTAATTTTCCTTCAAAAAAGAAACAAAAAATATATTAGCGGCTCCTGGTCTAAGCAGAAGGGAACTGTGGCTATCATTAGACTTTAGGACTCTTGTCTGAACTTAAGGGTAAGATAGCTCATCTTTGTTGGCTTGAACTCAGGCGTACTTATATGTGACTTACGTTGTTCATTGATATGTGTTTAGAAAAGATGTGCTGCTTCTAGGTAGAAACTAGGTGCCCACATGTGACTGATCACATTCCAGTTTTTGTCTCAACAGTTAGGGAGGCACATGTCAAGCTTGAGCCTCCAGGAGCCTAAGATGTTTTTGGTTTTTCTTTTTTGTTTTGTTTGTTTTTTGAGACAAGGTCTTACTATGTAGTTTAGGCTGGTCTTGAACTCATTCTGTAGGCCAAACTAGTCTGGAATTCACAGCGATCCTCCTGCCTCAGCCTCCTGAGTGCTGGAATTATAGGAGTGCACTACCACACACAGCCCTAGGAGCCTCAATTTCTGAGTGATACCCATACAACATGCGTAAAAAATAAGCATCCTATTTTAATCCACTAGGGAGTTTGGAGTTGTTTGTAATTGCATCATAATTAAGCCTATCCTGACTAACATACCAATAAGTACCTCAAAGTATAAGAATTTATCTAGCAAAATTCTTCAGGATGGCTTTATCATCAACCTTTGTATAGGTATAGGTAGCATGTGGACATCTGGTTTGTTGACTAGGACCTCATAGGTTCATATTCCTCCCTGAGTTTTGCTGTTAGGATTTAGACCTAAAATTTTCCCCAAAACTCGGATGCACTCAGTTAGGGGCAGAGCTTTTGGAAGGTGATTGGGTTGTGAGGGACTCTATACTCATCAATGGATTCATGCACTAATGCGCTCAGCAGCTGAGTGTGCTGTTAGAAGATGGGGCCTGGCTGGGGGAAGCTTGCGTAGGGAAGACCTAGATGCTGTGATCCACACAGCTAAGGGTCTGAAGCTGGGGAGAGCAGAGAGAGATGAATAAGAAATGAAGAAACCACGACTGTTCTTGAGGTTTGGGACCAGGTGGAACCAGAGCTTGGCAGGAGCTAATGGCTGCCTGGAGCAAAAACGCACTCTTTATTCATAGTGGAAGGCAAACAGGAAGAGAAGGCAGGGCAAATAGTGCTACATGACCTACATGGCCTAGGGAGAATTAGCATGATTGTTTTGTGATGGGGCATGGAAGGGAACAGAGAAGGATACACAATGTAACTGCCTCCTGGGGCTGCGCCATCCAGGGTCTACGCTATTAGCCAGACACAGACTGTGTCTGTTTGACTGTCTAATCTACGGAGGGGAAAAAGGAGTAGGGATTAGGTGACGGCCATCTTCAGGCTCAGCCCACGGCACCTAGAGGAAAATATCTCCCTCCCAGTTCCTCCCTTCCCTTTTGGCTTCTTAGCCACTGTGATATAAGCAGCCTTCCTCCTCAAGCCCCTTCCACCATGCCATTTCTGCCTTGGAGCCAAGCAACCATGAACTGAAACCATGAGCCACAATGAAACTCTTTAAGTTGTAGGTGTCAGATGTTGTGTTGATTATCACAATCCATGATGTGCTATAAAGTATAAGGAAAGGGCCAAGGATTTATCTCAGTGGCACCGTGCCTGCCTGGCAAGCACAAGGCCCTGAGTTCAATTCTGG